CTTCCCCTAAGTAGGAAAGTGACGATCTAAAAAGTTCAACCGACGACCATCAGCATAACTCATTCACCGACAACCCTGTGTTCAAAATAAATATTTTCCAACTACAACCAAGCTACCTTTTTACATTTATGAGAGGTGCGTTATTAAAATGTGGATCCATAGAGAGTGAGACACTAGTTCTCCCTTATGGAAAAGGAGAGCCTGAGGCAGTAGGAAAAAAATCGTACAAGGGGTTAAACATTTCAGCGTAAATTGTAAAAATGTAATATTAGTATTATAACAAAAATAGTCTTATAAAAAATTGTCAATTTTTGTGTACAATCTGTGAGCGTTAATTAGGGAGGATTTACTGTACTTTTCACAACGCAGGTCAATATGGTCATCGTATACCTGGATATGAACCAAAATCGATCTGCGTTATTAAAAACAAAGAACAGCGCAGGTCATCTTATCTCGATCTCCAGAGAATACATAAAATGATAAAAAAAACGCCAGGAAAGAGATCGATTTTTCGAAGCCGTGACAGTAAGAAGCCCCGTTGAGGCCTACACGCCTCCGGGCATACACAGCCAGCCGCATAAATAACGATGAACCACATGCGATCTCAGAAATCGATGCAGGCTCTCGGCCGTATTGGCTCGTTCCAGTGAAACCAAAGTCACAATTATCTTAATGGCTGACTCGGTCGAGCGATTTCCAAGTAGCAGGGCGCAGCATCGCGTTATCCTGAATTTCCATGCCGCGAACGAAGAACGTCGTAATTTTTGCGAACGTTTATGCGTGCATCCAGGTTTTCCCTATGGGTTACCGCCCATAACGTCAGCGCTGGCACGGACGTCAATTGCAGTATGATGGTGTATGATGGCGGTTGCTTGTCATCCGAAGTTAGGTATCACGAAAACTCGTTACGATAAGGAGTTATGCGCGGACTGTTAATTATTGACTAGACTGTGGACTTTGTGCATTTGTTGCATAAATGGGCAAGCGAAATACAAAGCAATGAAGACATCTGAATTTTGATTTTTAATCTATTGAAACTATTAATAGGAAAAGTATGTCTCCGTTTGTCTCTTGTTCTGTGCATTCGATGCAGACAATTTCTATTTTGCATAAAAATATCATGTGTAAATTATAATATTTGTATAAAAATATCATTTTATAAAAATGATGATCAATAAAAAGTTTCCTTTGTCAACCAAAGGACTGCTCATTGTAACAATAAAATAAAAGTACAATTAGACTTCATTGCGTAAAAAAAAGATCCGCCGTTTATTTGGCCAAGAACATTATAGCTATGAACATAGCTTAGAATTATAGTTAAGAACATTTCAATCGAAATAATAATTGTCAGAAATCAATTTTCTGCCACATTGATTATAACTAGACTGCGAATTTTATGTGTTTACGATGAAAGTGAGTAGGCCACGTAGAAACCAGTAAAAAGGTTTAAAAAATTTGCAAATACTGTTGCATCACTTTCAACTGAACAAAATAATTAAAGTATCCAGTATCCTGCAATCAGTGCAGAGAATTTTCATTTTGCATAAAAATCCGCAACTTAATCGCGACAGTTATGATCCCTAAATTAAACGAAATATAGAACAAGCTATTTGTTACGAATTAGCGAGAAACGCGTTGAATCGGTACGAGAAACGGACGAGGTTTAAGAGAAAAAATGAATGCAGCTCCTGTATCTTGCAATTTGAATTTGCTTTATACTTCGTAGAAAAGAATTTATTTGTGCTGCGAAAATATTGTAAATTCAAACGAATCTGGAAACATTAGACGATTCTTTCCTTGGCCGAATTTACTATTGACATGAAGATTGTAACTCTCCCTTTACAACGACGCTCAAAAACTTAATGTACGATTCTTCTTTCCGGTGTTACGCGGCAAAATGAGAAACAGTGTCTTGAGGTGTATCTTCTGCTACTGTAAAATTGGTAGCACAGGTTTCAATCGAAACTGACTAAAACGATGAAAAGAAATTGCGGGTCGAGCATCGAAGCTTTATTGGAAAGGGGAAGCTTCAAATCTGCAGGGTGTTCCATGATTATGTTTATTATGTTTATAGGGCGATTCCTCGGGTCATTTGAAGTAACTTTTCCCTTAGCGAAAATGCAATCCGCAGTTTTGTTTACGCGTTATTAACGAAAAACACTGGCCAATGAGAGGCGAGCTCGACTGGCCGCGAGGCGGCCCAGCCAACGAGCGCACGAAGCTCGGTTCCGCTCATTGGCTCGGCCGTCTCGCGTCAACTGATCTCGTTTCGCATTGGTCGCTGTTTTTCGCCAATAACTCGCAAACAAAGCCGCGGATTCCATTTTCGCTAAGGAAAAAGTTACTTCAAATAATCTCATTTCCGGATTGCGAGACATAATTGGTACACCTCGTATGTATGATTCGACACGGAATGTGGGTTAAGAGAGGAAATGAATGCAGCCGATATACGATATCTTGCAATCTCGGTGCAGACAATTTTTCTTTTGCGCAACAATCCGCATTCTGATTATAACCCAACGACGGTGATTTTTCGAAGTAGGTATTTACGGCTCGCGGCGAAATCGTTCCCGAGAAATGCAAGCATCGCGTCGTAGTAATTTCCAATTACTAATTGCTGGTTATCCACGGTAATGCAACAGTGGTTCGCTAGTTATTAGAATAATTATTGTATCATTCGAACGACTATTTTCTCGTACTTGTTGGCTGAACAAGTCCTGCCGCCGCGTTTACAACATTATTATATTCGATGCGAGACACTTTTCGTTTTCTTTCTGGCGCGACAGTGTGTTTTACGTGCACGGTGTTAACTGGATAATTTCCTAACGATCTGGAGCGAATGGGCAAAGTGATTCAGGATGTCTTATTTCGTAGCTCGTGAGAGGAAACTTGATCGGCAACTTTCGAGTATTAATGTCACCGAGATGTGCTCCTTGTTTTCAAACTACCTTGTCTTTAGACTGCAGATCTTTATGCAAAATAAGACTTATCTCCATGGATTGCAGCAAAGATTAGTCAAGTAAATGTATTTCTTTCTTCCTCTAATAATTTCGACGAGTTGAAAATAACACGTAGATGTCCTTAAATTCTTTTAATATTTTCGTTGTTTGAAACTTCACCCACCCATTTTTATCATAAATGCATAAGAACCGCAGTCTAATTATAATGTATATCCGTCTAGTTTTAAGTTCTTACGAGAACCGGTCGTTCTTGTGCCTGCGTGACGTGCTTAATAGATACTCTTGGGTAAAATATTACTTGAAGTGAGAAGTAGAGAGTACTTGCCCAAGTCATTTCATCGACAAGATTTCAATAATTAATCCTTGTTTTTTTTATCAACGTTTATGCTGAAATGTATCGAGAACATTTTGCACTTTCTCAACATAACAATTAAAAAGATAGGATTAATTATTAAGATCTTGTACATATTTCACGAAATATATTGAGTAAGTTATTACCAGAAATTTTCATGACGAGTCGGTCTCGTCAAAGTACGGCAAGGAACGGTAACATCGAGAAGAGAGAAACTTACGAATAAATATAATGATAATAATAAACGTGATCGCGTTGAATACGATCTCGATAAAAAAATCTTTATTTGATGCTATTAATTAATGTTTTTCTCCAGAATCCAACTCACTATGTATTATACCTTTATCTTATTATACCTTATCTATATTTACTATCATCATACCTTTGTCCGAAATCTTCGGAATCGTGCATTATTCTGTGCGACATTACTGCTGACGTCGGAATTTTGATTCAATTGTGAGAATTTCTGATTAAGCGAATACCTTTCGCTGAAGTTAACCTTTTCATTGGCTTCACGTATTTCCTTTGTTTTCTCACAGTGGTAACCTATGTTCTAGCCAATCAATACATAACAGTAACATTCATACAATTGTTAAGTTAACCAACAAAGCCACAACGTACACTGGTACACTTTTCCGAAAAGTTGACCACAATTAATAATTTCGTACGATTTTTATGAAAATCGGTTTTTGGGTTCGCTGAATTTGATAAATGCGTAGTCAAAAATTGCAAAATTCAAAATAGACAATCTGACATCACCGATATAAGCATTGTTTATAGCTTGTTTTTTGTAAATATTAATAATTGTCCGATATTTAGCTATGATTATACAATTAGAATATAAAAGTTAATATAATGATCTTAATTTCAACATCTTCAATATTGTTCACGAAGACCGATGGCTACTTGGAGCTTCAAATTGAATATCTTAAAAATGAGAAAAAATATTAGTAAAATTTTTCGATTGGACGTCATAGTTGATATCTTTACTTTAAGTCGTGTAGCTTGTTAGAGTAGGTCTTTCAAAGACTGTCACAATTTTGTCTTTATCGTTATATTGACAACAATTTAAGCAGGAAGCACAATACTTAATTCGAAAATATTTTGAAAAAAAATAATTTGGAACTGATGAACTTTAACTTGACACATTAAAGATGTTACCATGACCAAGCACGAAAATTCGTGAACTTTGATAAGTCTAGTCTAGTCAATTCACGCTCAGATTGCACACAAATGGACAATTTAGGAAGTGGAGACACGATTATTCGAGTCTCGCGGTTCATTTTTATAGTTACCGATTGTCAACAACTATAAAAACGAGATGCAAGGCTCGATTAATCGTAAAATTGTCCAAAATTGTCTCTTCCAAGATTGTCCATTTTTGTGCGCAATCTGAGCGCGAATTAGGGAGAAATCACTGTACTCGGTAATCATGCACGATATTTGAAAATTTTGAACAGAATTTGAGGCTGTGAAATGCACGAAGAAGAAAATATTTACCATAATATATCAGCCCTTTGGAAATGAAGTTTTGCGAAAATATTTCAAGGAATTGTCATTTAAAGTATGACAGTTTTGCCAGCCTGTATACATATACAATGATAAACGCAAACCGTATATTACAAGTCTGCAATGATCAAGAAGATCGAAGGCTAATTAAAAGGTTGCATTGTCCTTTTTGATTACAGTGAGCCTGGCGGTGCTGATGTTCTTCCTGTTTGGCAAGCCGTTCAAGCGAGGATTCTTCTGCAATGATGAATCATTATATCACCCGTTTCACGAGTCGACAGTAACCAGTCTGATGCTCTACGTGATTGGCCTCTTTGTACCTATATGCTCGGTGAGTCACCTGCCGTGATTCGTGAATCGCGATCCGCGATTTTCCAAGACGCGCCCTGAAACCGGTAATTTATCGGAGCCCCGGATTTCCGTCTATCGTATTCCGCGTTCTTGGAATACGATACGAGAATTTCGTTTCCTCCGTTTCGTATTAGTCATCATCGATTGTGTCCCTACTGTTTTCTTTTTCATTTGCTTCCACATTTGCATTCCTTATCTATTAGGATGTCCCATAAGTTTCTTCCCTTTTTTTGATGCGAAGTGAATATACGATATTTTTTGTTTAAGATGGATTTATTATGATATATATGAACCGTTCTGTTCTATAACCTTCTTCCATCTCTCAGGAAGCCTCATTATGCCCTCTTTCCAAAATTGTTGAGGCTTATTTGCAAAATATTGTTCAAGGTGCGTTTTTATTTCGCTTACGAATTTAAACCGTTTTTCATGGAGAGAATTTTTTAACGAGAAGGACAAGTAATAATCGGGATGGAGCAATGTCTGGAGAGTACGGAGGATGAGGTAGAACGTTCCAATCGAACTGCAATAATTTTTGTCTTACGAACAACGCAACACGCGGTTTTGCGTTGTCGCGATGAAAAACGACGCCGCGTCGGTTCGCCAATTCTGGCCGTTTTTCTGCTATGGTGGCTTTCAATTCATCGAGTTGATTACAATATTTAGCCGAATTGATCGTTTCACCTTGAGAAAGGAGCTCGTGGTAGACTACGCCTTTCCAGTCCCACCAAACGCACGAAAGAACTTTCTTCGGATGAAGTCCTGACTTCGCAACAATTGAGGGACTATTTCCTTTTGACCAAGTTCGTTTTCGATGCACATTTTGTGGTATAAAATCCAAGTCTCGTCTCCAGTGACAAGTCTCTCTAGGAAAGGATTTCTTCCTTGTCGTTGGAGAAGCAAATCGCACGTAGAGACGCGGTTCATAAGGCTGGCGTCAACACCTATCGACGGTGTGGAACTTCGAATCGATTCACATATCTCATCTTGATTAAATGCTTATGTACCGTTGTCCTGGGTATGTTAGTGGCATTCGCTATCTCGCACACACTATATCGCGAATTTTCAGCGAGCATATCTTTGACAAGGTCCGCATCCGTCGTTGTTGGTCGGCCGCTGCGGTCTTCTAGACGATGTCTACATTTATGAGAGTCTACTAGACGATGACTGAAATGTTTCCTTTTTAAATTTTGCTATTACTTGGTATGACAAAAACATAAAAATCTCTCGTTTCTTAACTTCTTTTATTACTAATTTATTATTTTAGATTATAATTCGTTGGAATGACCAAAAAATTGCAACTTTTTCGAAATTTTTTACTCGTTGTCTAGTAAACCGGTCGGCGTAACGTTTCAAGGAAGAATTCAAGTCGTAAGATTTTAATTTTACAAGGGCAAAACGTTTGGATTTCATTTTTATTGCAATTGTGAAAGCAAACGAAGTAGAAGATCTTGATTCGCAGAAAGATCAATTGAGCCGTTTATTTTGAAAGTGGCATAAGTCACTTTACCGTAATGAAAAGTGGTGATTTTTTTAATGTTTATACAAAATTATTTATACTGAGAAAAATATCAGTATCCTGAGATAACAAATACAAGTAAATCTTCTCGAAAGTTAGCATCCATATTTTTGAACATGTTAAAACGCAAACCCTTAAATATATCGACTTAAAAACAAAGTGACTTATGCCACTTTCAAAATAAACGGCTCAATTAGCTCTGTGAATGGGTGAATTCGATTTGCAACGGGGTAAATATGGTTTTAATTTGATTTGCAACAAGATCAAGTTGTTTTGAAACAGGATAAATTTTATTTGCGAAAGGGTCAATTGAATTTGCTGGAGGCTGAATTTAACTTGCAACAGGGTAAATTTGTTCGGCATCGGGGTGAACATAATTTGCAAAGGGATAAATTTGATGTGCAAAAGCTGTATCTCGCGTACGAGACCAATTTGAAAAAGTGGTAGCCTGCAGTGCTTTGAAGATGAAAATTTTAGGTCGAGTGTAACAAAGTGGCTCACCACGCATACGGATACCCTCGTACATTCTATGCGGATGGTGTAAAAAGGCCGGTCTCTAGGTACGCTAACAAGGGCCACTAGCGATCTGTTCAGCGAAACCTATTTTTTTTGTCCTAGAAACATCATGTTAAGTAGCCCGCATAATAGCGACGGTAGCGAAACAGGTAATCTTTTTTTTACAGGACAATGCGATGAAGCACATTATTTGTATCTTTCAACTATATTTTGAAATCCATTTTTCTTGTAATATATTAAGCAAACTGAATGTCACTAGGTCCCAAATACAGTAAATTCTCCCCAATTAACGTTCAGATTGCGCACAAAAGTAGACAGTTTCGGAAGAAGAGATACGATTATTACGATTATACGATTTCCGTTTTTATAGTTAACTATAAATTCTGAGATCTAGACCTCGGATAGTATAAAAAGCCTGCAAAGTCTACTAATCTATAATATCACAATTATATGTTTTTTGTCCGATTTAATAGAATCTATAATTAGAATAATATAATTGAACCTAATAATAGAAACTATAATAGAACATAATCTTACTTTTAAAAATTTATTTATCATTGGAATTATTTTAATCGAACTGCTCGATCTAATTGGTTAAAAATTTATTAATTTACAATTATTGAAATTATGCAAATATTTTTGCATTATATCACAATCAAAATCGCATAAAGTAAAAATCTCTGCAGTTTCGTAAGGCGACGCAAACCAAACACTTCCACTGCTCGGTAGTTTTACTATTCATGTTGTTATTAAAACGTTTCAACGTTGTTATTAAAGCAGCCAAGTTTTCAATGACACTTGTCACTGACAGTGACTATGTAATGACAATAATAATACGATGATAGAAAATAGCAGTCACAGGCATACGACGAGTGTTGTTCGGAATGCTTTAAGAAAATAATCAGAAGTGTTAGAAAGACACTTCTATTGCTATATGAGTGTGTGTATTCTGGTTTTTATACATCCGATTGCTTTTCTGACACCGTCTAGAGTACCATTACCGCGAACGCGTGTGTTTTTATAAGATGTTTTCCGAACAAAATATAACAAACTTAAGTGAGTTCGCCGAGTTTCCTCTTAGCACTACATAGTCCTCCACGTTACGACTTAGAGTTTAGTTTTTTTAGGACTAGTACCCAATTTCAACGTTAAATAGTAGCCATTGTCTGTCGTTTTGCGTATAAATCGTCACGTTTCTCTGAATATTGAAAAAATATTTTGCTGATGAAATATTTTATATGAAAATATAAATTGTAAACAATACAGTCATCGGAAAATATACACAGTTGCGATATACTATATAGTTGTGCTAAAATAATTTATTTACAGTCTTCTATGCGTGAATAACGATTGTATTAATTTTCAATGCACATCTTTCAAATTTCATCGTGATAAAATTAAACGGATCAGATATCATTATCGATAAACTTTGTTAATGCGCCAGATATTTCTTGCAGTTATTTTGCATATTTCAACATGTAAACTTTACATGAACATCTGCGATCTGGCTATAACAGAAAGGTTTAATCAGCCATAACGCAAAGCTCTGCTTTCTCCAATGAAATACTATCTCTCACGGATAGTAATCGAATCCCGCGAAGCAGAACTCGTCTATCGAAATGAGCTTATTATTAGAATTCACGGTTACGCGTGCGTTCGAAACTCGATTCCGCCGGCAATAAGGGGTGCAACGAGTCCCATAACCTTCGTCATGCATCGTACACGTAACACGTAAAGCGTATCGCGTAACACGGCGTAACATCGTTGTGATCATAGGCGAAAGCAAAACTGCGGTAAGATATATGGCGCGAGAGATCTATAAATATAGCATACCGATCTCCGGAATTCGAACGATTTCTCGCGAGAGCTATCTATATCGTGAAGCCGCGGCAACGAGTAAAATATGAAAATATTTGCAGCACGTAAACAAAGTACCCGAGATTTGCGAATAAAACGCGCACCGCTCGAATGTTCATAAAAATTGATTTGATCGCCTCCGAAATAGATCCCGTCCGACACGATACACGTACACCAACGCCTTCATTCAGTCTTCGAAACATCTTTCACAAACGCTGAGGAAGGTAAAATATAAAGACAATATGCACGTATATGCAAATCGTCATCGATGATACTGAGAACTCCGAAAAAAATTATCTTGCAAGAAAGGAATACTTTTCGCACCGCATTGGTCTCTTGATACCAGTCAAATTTCATATAAAATATTTTTCGTGACGTCAGATGGGCTATCGCGTGTGCGATCGATTGTAACAAAAACAAAATTCGTATGCTCGAACATTGACAGAATAGCAAATGCCTTTATACTTCTGACGTACTTATTGAAAATTGTTTATAAAATTATTTTACATAAAAATCGTTATCAAAATTTCATTCTATGATCGGAACAACCTGTACAATTATTTATTTCATAATGAGTAGTGCATAAGTAACAGTCATGTGAATTAAATCCGGGTTTGGACAATTTTAGCTCACTGCGTGCTGCAGAGCTCGAAATTTCCATAAAGCCACCTAATATTTTGATGAAATGTTATACTTATTCCATAGCAATGGAAGAATAGTGAATGAGTAGAATTTTAGGATTAATAAATGACACCGTATAATATTTATTTATAAGAAAAATAAATTTATGTATTTTATCAAAAAGCGTTATACATAAATTATTATTTGTAAAGCGTTATACATAAATTATTATTTGTAAATCGTTATCTATAAATCGTTATTTATAAATCGTTATCTATAAATCGTTATTTATAAATCGTTATCTATAAATCGTTGTTTATAAATCGTTATTTATAAATCGTTATCTACATATATAAGTCGTGTCAGTAGATACCGATCTAAACAAATAAACCAACGTCGTAATGAGTCGTAACTTCGGTGGTGATTCGAAATTTCGAGCATTGTGGCGTACTACCGCAGTGTTCACCGCA